AAGTAAATACTACAGACTTGTCTAAAGAAGAATATATAACACCTGAAATTTTATAAAAAAAAGCGAATCTATAGCCTAGGTTGTATATGATACGTCTATATAAAAAAAAACATCGAATTCAAGCAGTTCATTCTTTTCAACAGGCTTGAAAGTATCTGGAAATCTAACCATCAGTTCAAGTACAAACCCAGAAGAAAAGTTGAGAGAAATCACAGATGATGCTCTCGAGTATACAGGGTGTACCAATAAAAACTCCCAGGCCGGATATTTTGGTAAGTAATAGAGATATTTTAATTCTGTAAAAGCCAGTTCATAGAGCGCTAAGAGAGCTTCAGTTTTAGATATTAATTAATTCTAAATAGGTCAATAGGTAGATGACGCGGCGCTCAATATATTTTTTTCGATGGAAGGATCTTTCTTATACAACGCATCTTGTAAAAAATGCATTTTTAAGCAGATTTTGTTCTATAAACTAATTCGATTATATTCCACGCCTTGTTCTCAATAATCATAGGTAGTACCCCCCTTTTCCCGCTCTGTGGCCACGTATTTTAAAGACTAAATACCCTCAAAAGTATTTAGAAAGCTCCAAAATAACTGGTATCCCAGTCCTTCCCACCTCTGCTCCCGTCTCGTGACAGTCAAGCCCACTCTTGAGCCATTCTTTTAAAGCGGTAATTGTGTTTGAATCTTGTAGAGATGATCTTGGGTATAGGTGTGTGGGTGGGTTCGATCATCTCGAACAAGGCGTTTCATAAAATTGAGATCGAACTTCACTTCAGGTAAGTTCGTTTGATCTATCATTTATATTCCACGCCTTGTTCTCAATGATCATAGGTAGGATGTTTAAAGAAAAGATTAAACACAATTACCGAGAATATTTTTATTCTAGACCGAACGATTGAATCATTATTCGAACTGTTTGGGTATATGCTAAGTAGTTACTCTACTAGCATTATTTTATTGAAATTTAAATATTTCCATATTGCACTTACAACAAAATAAAGTTAGCAATAATGTTTAAAATAATGCATGAATAATTTTTAAAGTATTGCAAGTGCAATATGGAGGATATTTATATTAATGTTATGTAGTAATTAAATTTTCTTTCAGATAATGTGTCGCACTTTATAATACGTACAGTTTTTTATCCCGATAGAGGGCGGTACAATTAAAAGTATCGCAATGAACAGTCATATTTCTAAATTTCCTATAAAATTACCTTTTTAATGATATACTACACATTGTAGTGGCACACTATAATACGTAGTAGTTTTTATCCCGCTAGAAGGCGATAAAATTTAAGAAACGCAATATACATAAATATTTCTAATTCTCCATTAAATTACTTTTTCAATGATGTACCATACATGGTGCATTACCTATTTAAAATTAAGGTGTGATAAGTGCAAGGGAGGGGGTTGACACATGACAGATGTCTGTATTTTAAAAATGATTTTAATTTTGAATAAAAATCGACCTGTTTTAGCATTTTCTTAAAATCCAATGATTAATGCTGAAAAACATGATAAAACTGTTTTGAGTTACCCACTCTGTATATCAAAAATGGCTAGATTTATCGAATTAGTTTATAAAACAAAATCTGCTTAAAGATGCATTTTTTACAAGAGGCGTTATATAAGAAAGATCCTCCCATCGAAAAAAAATATTGATCGCAGCGCCATCTACATACTGACCAATTTAAAATTAATTTATATCTAAAACTAAAGCTCTCTTAGCGCTCTATGAATTGACTTTTACAGAATAAAAATATCTCTATTACTTACCAAGATTATCGGGCTGGGAGTTTTTATTGGTACACCCTGTATAGCAGCGAGTATTTTGCTATAAAACATTAATTGTTTTTCAGAAAATCTGCATAACTAACTTGGAAAGCCATAATTAAGCATAAAATTTGTAAAATTATTTATTTTAAATTAAAAAAAAGTTATTTTTCATAATTTCTCAATGTGAATCGTATTTATTTAACAAGCAAAAGAAATGATGAAGAATTACTTTTTTAATTTAAAATAAATATTTCCACAAGTATAGTTAAGTCCATCCGTGGACACACTGTATAATGCATTAGAACTAATTCAGATTATAACATCTATAAAACGTTTCAGAACAACTTACGGTGTAAGTACCGTAAAAGTGCTAGTATGATGTTTTTAGAACTTCACTTTGTAACCTCTGCGAGATGTGCTATAAAAGTCTTGCCGTTGCGGACATTCGGCGGTTGCAGGGATATTAGGGAATTAGGGTTACATTAAAAGTACATTGCATGCGAGCTTAAAGAGCCTAAAATTGCAGCTTATTAACGTAGATGGGATATTTTTATGCTAGCTGGGTAGTGTATCGATTGAAAGGCAATTTACAAAAATATTCGTCTACTTTGACACAAAATATCATTGAGGAAGAATAAAGAGGAGATACTATAAGGATACTAAAAGTGCACCTTTCCACTACTTTTTTACGTCATGTGTCAAACTCCAGCAGCGGAGCTGGTCAGTTTTGGTGAGAATAAATGCCATTTTTTTAAATAGCTTCATATAAATGATAAAAAAAACATTTTCATTTCGCCAATCTTCAAATACAGGGTGTTCCATAATATATGCGCAGGACTTCAGGACGTGATAGCTCGTCCAAAAATATGAAAGAGATAGAGGGTGTTGAAATTGAAAAAAAAAATTCTACGCCACTGGAAAAGTACGGTTTTGAGACGCCCATTTGAACCGTTAATGTTTTCTACACAAAAAAGGCACTCTTGGTCATACGCTCTAAAGTTGACCGTTTTCGAGAAAAATCAAATTTTAATGTTGAAATACATGGTCAATTTTTGGAAATAAAACAAAAGTATTAGACATAATTAGTAAAATTATTATTCTTATCATGAGCTTTTTGACTAGTCCGGCATGCCAGACTTGGTCAAATGCTTTCTGAACATCTATATTAGAATATCCACCCTATTCACTGGAGCTCGCCTCATGTGACTTTTTTTTGTTATCAAAGTTCCAATCAGCACTGAACGAAAAAGCTTCGGACCCGATGAACATGCTTTCAAAAAATAATTAACCGCACTGCTATGGCTAATGGAATGCGATCATAAAATTGTGAAACAAAAGCAATAACTGATTTTATAGAATTAATCAGGTTTTTCTAGCCAAACATCGTATAAAATATTTAATAACAGTACATATCGGTACGCCTATACATATCAGCCTGTTGAAAGCAAATCGGACGATAATGTTTTTGTTAACATATACCTATTGTTACCGTTATTTAATTTATTTATAGTTTATTTATTTAGAAAACACTATTTACAATTTATTTATGACGTACTAATTAATTTATATAACACCTAGGCACTATTATAACTCACAATTCTAATTTATTTGTTACAATTTATCTTTTCTGTCCAACACTTAAATTCAATCTTCCCTTCTGGTCGACAAACTCGCGACTATTTATATAAAAATGAAACGGCCAAGAATGAACCAATCCTGCTGGAAGAATCTCTAATCGTTCACGAAATGCTTTCCCTATGCGTTAGCGGCATACCTAGAAGATTCCGGTTTCGACCATGAGTCGGGTGGCAGACTTCAAGTCGCGCTCTACACAGAGTCGGCTTAGGCATTTTCATGACACTATATTAGTTATTTATTATTACATTTGTTTTATATTTTTTAAAAATGCTTGTTCCTTTTTCACGGATACGTCCATATTTTTCTAGCTATTTAAATACTAGGATTACTAGACAGGTACTTTAAGTACTTTCAGCATTCAACTTGTTTAACTTTTATCTTTAAAATCTCATTTCTAAATAAGCCTTTCTTGTAAGTATATTTATAGCTTTTCATTTTTCGCTTCCTTTAATAAATATGTCTTATCTTACTATATTTAAAAGAGTGAACGATTTACGTACCCTATTAAAATTAAATTAAATTACCTCCCTAGATTTGGAATGAAATTATGCCATCATGGGGTGTTAGGGGATAGTCGAATGTCTATTGTCGTTATGCCAAAGCATTGTCTGTTTGTCAATCTTTCAAATGTGTTCAACTGTTACAAGCATAACAATTCTTATTACGACATCATTGAAAACAACTGAAGCTTGAAATATTATTGGATTTGTTACTGTTTTAATAGGGAGAAAATATAATAATCAATTTTAAACGTTTAAATGCGAGCCTTACTAATACTTAGGGGAAGTGGGGAAGTGTTGTCAAATAAGCACCATTAGATACTGAACCTAAACGCTTAAACTTATAATAGAAATAGTTAATATTAGTTTAAAGCGAGGGGCGAATCAGTCTTTGTAAAAATGTACATGTATTGCCGAATTCACACGATTTCCGCAATCATATGGCGATTTCTGGGTGACTACGGTGATTTCCATGTGACTTCCTACAGAGTTCTAGTTACTGCGGTGATTTTCATATGACTTCAATAGATGTCTCCTGACTGCGCTGATTTATGTATTGACTGCGGCGATTTCCGTACTGAAAATGGTTTTATGATTTTTGTAAAAATTTTCGATTATGGTCCATTTTTAAGATATATCATGTATAGATCTTTTATTTGAAGAATTTTCTTCTCCAATCGTAAATAACAGATATTCCTTAAAGTAAAAAACGACATCTTATAAAGTATCCGTAAATTGGAAGAAAACGTGGTATTCCATTAAAAAAATAATTGTGAGGCGTCATTACACGAAGGTAGGTAGTTCACGTGTATATTAAATTATTATTTTAAAAAACAGTAAATTGAAATCAAAAATTGACCTGTTTCTAGAAATTTTAATAGTTGTTTATTTAGCTAATAATAATGAATTTATGAGTTCGTTACTTTATGAACGCGCATTGTATTTATTGTATGGGTATAAAAACATACTAAGTACCATCCTGTTCAATAATTTAAATGTCAGTTATCCGTTAGTGTTATGCAACTCTTTATTTACATTTTTGTAAATATGGTTGCCTACAACAAATATCACTTCTATTCTATCTGTCAAAAAAAATCAAAAAATGACAAATTGACATAAAAAGATGTTTTGAATACAAAACATGAAAAACTATAATTTTTCATTATAGTACATTCGACTTAATTTCCAGTAATCAACATAATTATGGCATTATCTAAGGCTGCCAACAATGGGTAAACAGTGGATTTATCATTTAGCAAAAACTGAATGTGAGGTTAGATCAAAGTTAGATCTCAAAATTATAATTAAATTTGAATATCTATTCAAATATGAACATACGTGAGCACCAGGACGATGAGGAATTTCTTTTAGATGATGAAAATGCATATCTTAAAAATTGCGAAACACAACAGAGTTTTAACTGGACCAATGTAAATTCAAATTTGGGTCATGACTTGAACAAAAATTATTTTGATTCAGAAAATATCGCTCCATTAACAATGATTAACGTTGAGGACCATAATGACAATTTAGAAGATTCGCCCCTATTAATTAATGTAAGTGCTATCTTAGAATTTTAAAAAATTTAGTATTTTTGTGAGGTTCGAAATTAAAGTTGTTTCTACAGTTTAAATGCGACTTCATTTTCATATAAGTCACTGTTTGAATTAACATACATTTTTTAAATAAAAATGTCTAGATTAATCATTTATTTAAATATTAAGTAGGTACAGTACCTAGGCATCTTCTGTGGAAGATATTATTTTTTGCTCTATACTATAAGATTTGTAGAAGATAATTTTTGTCCAAGCATTTAATAGGCTTTACCCTGGAATGCTACTAAATAAGTCTGGTTGGTTACCAAATTATTTCTTTCTAATTTTACTGAGTATTTAACTTCATGATAACGGAATAGTAAAATTAGTTATTCAATGGATTGTGTTGAAAGTATATTTGCATTAATTAATCTTTACTAATGTTAACAAATGTAATGTCATGCCATATCTAATATATTGTCGTTGTAGAGGCAAAACCTCCTAACTCATTTTGTCATATCTTAAAATGTAAATCTTTAACCATTTGGCATCTTTTTGACTTGCCTTTTTCTTTTACATAAAAAAGCTAATTTTACAAAATTAACAATTACCTACAGAAAACCTGGTAATTTTATGATACAAGGTTTTGACTCTAGGACGATGATACGTATTCTATCATTCTTAAAGCTAGAAGCAAGCATAACATATATTTTGACTACAGTTGAAGTTTATTTTACATAAAAATCTGATGTGTCCAACACATGACTTTCCTATCTAGTTATTACAGGCTTTTTCCGTTTATTGTGTACAACCTATTGCAGCATCTCTATAAATGTTTAGAGGATAAACTAAATATATACATTGTCCACATACATCTACCGCGAAACATTTTTCTATAGATATTCATTGAAAATGAAAATACTGAAAAATTTAAATTTAGCACTTTTCCTACAATTTTTCCATTACGGTCCATTTAAAAAAATCATGTATGAACAAATATTATAGAGATCGATATCGCAAACAACTTTTATTTCAACAATTTTCATAAAAATCAGAATTTTGCACATTTTGTCAAATTTCTCGAATACGGACCATTTCAGGAAATTTTTACATAAGGCAAAAATTATAGATAATAATATTAGAAGTAACTTTTATTTGAACAATTTTCTTCTCCAAACATAAATAACAGATATATTCCATAAAATATATAAACGGCCTCCCATAAAGTACCCCCCCAGATGTTCCGACTTTGTCCAAAATCTAATCATTTCACGTCAGGCCGAAATAAAACTTAAGTTTAAAATTTATTGATTTTTTCTTTATCCGTTTTTGAGTTTTCTTCAAATTTCGAAATTTACACATTTTCTCAAATATCTCAAATACGGTCCATTTTAGAGAAATTATCTATGGGACAAAAATTATAGAGAATTATATTACAAACAACTTTTGTTTGAACAATTTTTATAAAAAAAAATATTTTTTTACATTTTGTCAAATTTCTCGAATACGGACCATTTTAGGAAAATTTTGTAAATAACAAAAATTATAGATAATAAAATAAGAAGTAACTTTTATTTAAAAAATTTTCTTCCCCAAACGTAAATAACAGATATATTCCATAAAATATAAAAATGACCACCTATAAAGTACCCCCCCAGATGTTCCGACTCTGCCCAAAATCTAATCAGCTCATTAGACGCTGGAATAAAGCTTAAGTTTGAAATTTGGTGTTTTTCCGTGTATCGGTTCATGAGTTATGCGTTATACAGACACACACACACAGACACACACACACACACACACACACACACACACACACACACACACACACACACACACACAGAGACATCATCGCGAAAATAGTCAAAACGGATTCAGGGGACCTCAAAACGTAAAAATCCGTCGAAAACTCGAGGTCGAAAAAAATCATGATTCCTATACTTTCCTTATATCTGTATACAGATAGGAAAGTAAAAATGTACACCTACAATCGACTACTTATCTCTGTATACCATCAAGGAAAGTGTTATACATATAACAAGTAAATATTCGTTTTTCTCTGATAATCATTAGTTTAAAACTACCATCCATGAAAATTGACCAGGTGTATAAATATTTAAACATAAGTATTACATGATCTTTTCTAATAAACTAAAAAGTTTTGCTTTAAACCTGTAATTTCAATTTAATTTTTCTAATTGTGTGAGGGGTGATTCATTTTTTTTAAATTCCATTCACAGAGATATCTTGTATCACTAAATGATCTACAAGCATTTATAATATTTTTTTATATCAATATGGAGATTGAAATTATGATTAAAAATATAGTTTTTTTTGACATTTAAATTAGTGAAACAGATTTCTTTAATTAAATAATCGGCCTGTAATCACTTTTTTATTGAATTTTAAGCAAACAAATTATATTTATTGAATTTGAGGTATGCCTTTGTCCTGAAAGAAATTGAAGTTTTCAAACTCTAAGCCAAGCTCTCATTCACCCATTCGGCATTAAAAATTGATACAAAATTATCTAAAATTTTCTGTATAATTCTTCAAAAACAGAATTTCAAAACCCATGCAGAACAACACAATCCCTTGTTGGAATCAATCCATTTTACCTATTAATTGTACATGAATCAAGTTGTTCATAGGAAAGAAGGCAGCAGAGCACCTACGGAATTTTGAGTTGAAACGCATACCTTATTTTTAGGTTATTTTAAGGCTGTTGCAAAAATCAAGGGCTCTGCTAGCTTCGAAAGAAGTCAGCAGAGCACTTCAATTTTGTAAAGCACTTTTTCTAAAAACAACCACACTATATTTTTATACTATTTTTAGAATCTCGAAATATAAATCTTTATTTAAAAAAGTGCTATTTTTAAATAATACAGCTGCTTTGTTGGAAAATAATCAGCAGAACACCTCAGTTTATTAATTTCTTTTTCTGAAAACAAGCACTTATATGCCACATTTTTAGGTTATTTTAAGGCTCTTAAAATATAAAACTTTTTAAAAAAAAATTGTGTTTTGAAAAATATATATGGTGCTAGCAGGAAGCACCTTAGCTTTTTAAAGCTTTTTTTATAAAAACAACCACACCACATGTTTAGGCTATTTTTAGGCTTTGTTGGAACAAAATTAGCAAAGCACATTGGTTTATTTATTTTTTTTTTTTTTCTGAAAACAACTAATTATGCCACATTTTTAGGCTATTTTTAGGCCCTGGAAATATTATAAAAGTTTACTAAAAGTTGTGTAATTTTTAAATATTATAGGGTGCTTTGCTAGAAAGAAGCCAGCAGAGAACCTGGGTTTTTTTTTTTTTTTTTTTTTTTTTTGAAAAAAATTGCTATTTTTTTTTTTTTTTTTAAAGAAGCCAGTGGGGCGCCTTGAAATTTAAGGTTTTTCTAAAAGCAACTATACCACATTTTTTTGGCTCTTTAAAAAAATGGTTATTTAAAAAAATACATGGTGCTTAGATTTCTAAAAATAAATAGACCTCGTATTTAGGATATTTTTAGGCTCTTGAAATATATTAAACATTTGCTATTTTTGAAAAATACGAAGGGCTCTTCTCTAATTTTTTTAAAAAAGCAAGTTTTATAATATTTGAAGAGCCTAAAAATAGACTAAAAAAAGGTTTAAAAAATCAAGGGGTTCTGCTGGCATCGTTTGAAGCTAGCAAAGCAACATGTATTTTTTAAAAATGACTGATTTTTTTCGAAAAATAGTGTTGTTTTTGGAAAAAAAAACTTGAAAAATGAAGTACTCTGATTTTGTTCAAAGCTAGCAGGCACCTTGATTTTAAAAAAAAACGAGGAGCATAAAATTTTTGAATGGGGTATGAAAATAACCTTAAAATAAGGCACAGGTTTCAACTCAAAATTCCCTAGCTGCTCTGCTGCCTTCTTTGACATATAAGTTGTTCTATAGAAAAATATATAAAAAGAAATGTATTCCCTATAATTTTTGAACAAATTCGTTCAATTAAGTTATCAATAACTATATAAAATAATAATTCATCTTCGTATCTTAATATTTAATTTTTGAATCTGAATCATTTCTGATTTTTTTACTATGAGAACCATGAGTGTCTGTCACTGAACGTATTTCAATATGGTTTGTACAAGTAGATGTGAAAACTACAAAAATTTAGCATTAGCACAAACAGGAAACGAATAATATCAGCGTTGCCAGTGTATACAGCCCAACAGCATTGTAATGTTGGCCAAGCCGTATAACCTGGCAACGCTGATATAATTCGTTTCCTGCTCGCACCAATGCTAATTCTCTGTAGCGTATTGGAAAGCGTTCAATAGCACATACTGTATGTCATAAAAGTTGTGGAGATATTTGAATTCAAATTTGTGCGGCTTAGATAATTTAAAATAATATTCGTAAATATAACTTCTTTAACTAAAATTCAAACTTTTAAGTTTTTTAATGGTTATGGATGTAATATAAATACTGACAAACATTTTATTATATAGGCCATGCCTTTCATTGGTTCTTTGAAAAGTTTAAAAGTGTCCTTTTTGGTATCTAACAGGTTTTACTCAGTTTATGCATGCATAAATATTTTAATTGCGAGTTTAAAATGATTTTTGACTGGTTATTTTAAATATAATAATAATTCAAGCAAATCTACACAAACATACAATATATCAGACAGTACAATGTTTCAGTTATAATTTTAAAAATATTTATACAATATCTTTTTTACAAAACTATTAGTCATGGATTTTTAACTATTCGTCCTGTAAATATATATTGAAAGTAGATTCTTTATTAAAAAAACTAATACTATAAAACATTTTTTAATTAAATTTAAAATAGTTTAAATATTATAAGTAAAATTAGTGAGTCAAATTTTTTGTTATCAGTTTACAGTAATTGTTTTTGTTCAATTGATTTTTAACTATTCGTCCTGTAAATATATATTGAAAGTAGATTCTTCATTAAAAAAACTAATACTATAAAACATTTTTTTAATTAAATTTGAAATAGTTTAAATATTATATAAG